AGTGCCGAGTGTTTTGGCAAAGCGGCGCCGTTTCTTTTTTAAGCAGAAATTCAGTTTCCATTAAGCAAAGCTGTATCCCTCCTGCTCCAGCAGCGCCTTTGATCAGCGCACACAGCAGGGGGAAGGACACAGGCTGTGACCAGCCTCACCGCGTGTCCCTTGGCCCTGCTGTGCCCCGGTGCATGGCAGCTGGGAGGGGTCCCACTGTGTGCCCGTGGCGAGGGAGGGCCCCGGGGACCGATCCTTCCCCCGGGCACCCCTGGCCCCCAGCACCGTCGCAACTCTCACAGCAATGGGCACACGAGCCGCGTAGCATCGGGGGGATGCGGGCGCTGGCAGGGGGTCAGTGGTGCCCCACACAGGAGCAAGATCATGCCTTAAGGGCCTTGCTCCAGCCTTGTAGGGCTTTGTGGGGCTGGGATTCAGCTCTGGGCATGCAGGCAGCTTCTGGAAATAATCCTGCAAAGGTCCTCCATGCCAAGGCAAGTTCGCCATGCCGGGGCGGGGGGCCCGTCCCAGGGTGGGGGGCCGTGCATGTGGATGCCGCGCTTGGGCCCGGGAGGCAGCGGGGCTCACTGGCACTGCAGGACTGTGCATCCCCAGCCACACCCGCGACCCTGTCACAGCAAACAGGACTCCTGGTCGAGCAGCCAGGAGAGGCACCATGAACCCATCACCCTCGACAGCACCATGCACAGCAGCACCGGCCCTGAGCGCAGCTCCGGAGCCAGGGGTGAGCGTTTGCTCTGCACCTTTGGTGCTAGCAGTGAAGGTCGCGGCTGCGCGCAGTTCGTCCCCCCTCGCCGCGACAGTGAGCCCCGCCTGCCCGCATCCTGCTGCGGTGCTCCCAGGGGCATGGCTCCACTGCAGCTGGTTCGGGAGCTCCCGTGCTGGCCTGAGGCGCGCTGGCCCTGCGGTGTGGGAGCATGGCTGTGCATGAGGCCGGATGGCACAACCATCGTAGCCCAGCCTTGCTGGGGACCCACATGTTCCTCCGCTGTGCTGGCTGCCTGCGTGGCTCACTCTGCTTCCTTGGGCTCCTCCTGATTTCCAATGGCACCGAGAACAGGGTCCCACAGCAGTCTGGCCCCATGTTGTGCTGCGAGTTTTTCCGCAGTCAGAGTGGCACAGAAAGGTCCCTGGCACAAACCCAGCAGGTTCCCCTGGATCGCACTGGCAGCCTTCCTGCCCAGACTGTGCAAGTCAAAGCAGATGTCAGTGCTCCCCTCCCAGGAAAGCGCATCCCCTTCTCACAGAAAGGTGGACACAAGGTGGAAATCTCCCGGGTCCATGTGCCGCCTGCCAGTGTGCTCCGAAGCCTGGGATCTGGCTCCGTACACTCGGCGTTGGCGGCTCTGTCGCTCCGCAGCTGCCCCTCGCACTGCGGGGCCGTGGGGAGGGTGCAGGGGCGAGCGGAGGCAAAGCAGCCCCGGCACATCTGCTGCGGCGATACCTCTGCAGCTCTCCGGGATGTGCCAGGAGAGCCGCCTGGTGCACGGCCACCCCTGCCAGCGCCACGGCGCCGCGCTCATCAGCCCCCAGGGAAGCAGTACAGGGAGGTGTTGGCAAAATTTTTAAGGTTATATGTTTGCTTTCAGCACCAGAAGAGCACCTTGACATTCTGGAAGGATAAAACGTGTCTGCCAGCAGAGAGCCACGGCATGTCCACTCAGCCGTGTGCGTCGTGGCGGCAGGCAGCTGCCAGCTTTGTCCCCAGCCCCTGCCACAGTGCCGCAGCCCTCGGGGCCACCCCTTGTCCCCAAGCCCCGCTGAGCCTGTTGTACCCAGGATGGGGGGACATGAAGGCTGCCCCCCACATAGGCTAGCCTTCTACTAGGGAGCCTTTATTGAAGATTTCTGTCCTTTTTTTTTCTTTAAATAATGAGGCAAAGATAAAAATTCTGTATTTTCATTACTCCCTATTTTCACAGCCCACTGAACAAAAACACAGAGCGCTTCTCCTGCTGCCCCTTGCTCCCTGGCCCTGCCTCTTTCTCCCATGGAGTTCAAATTAAAGAAAGGCGAAAATTGAAGCTGTTGTACGCAAGGCGATTGCAACATGCATATTTGATTTTTATGATGGATCTAAATTGCTGAATAAGGCCGGGGAACAAAGGGAGACTGCGGCTTCCTGCCCATCACAGCCAGCCAGCCACTGCAGAACAAAAGCGCCAGCCATTAGGGGCTCAGCAGGGAGACACATTATATAAATGACTTTGTTTCTCTGCCCCTTCCCCCCCACGGGGTGCTCTGGACGGGGCTGGGGGGCTCCTGATTTGCACATCCCGGGGAGAGCCTGCGGCTGGGGCAAAGCTGCCGCCCTGGTGCAGCGTGGCTGCGGGGAGCCCTGTGCCCCTGGCACACCTGGCCGGCCCAGTGGGGCTAGGGTCCCGGTGGGGCTGGGGGCCCTGCCGGGCTGGGGACCCTGCCTGCCCGCCCCGGGTCCTGCGTCCTGCGGGGCAGCAGGGAGGGCCCAGCCGCGTCGAGGCAGCCAGGGCTGGGCAGGGGCCGCTCCGCCGAGCCCGCAGCCGCGACCCTCGCAGGCGCACGGTACCTTGGCATGGGGCCAAGGCTCTGCCGTCCGGTTCCTCTGGTGCCGTGTGGCGATGGGGAACAAAGAGAGGCAGAGCTGCGTCCCTCGCCCGGCTGCCCTTCCCGCGCAGCCGCCACGCCGCTGGCGGGTCCCTGGGTGCCCATGCTGGCTGGTGGCCCTGGGCACACTCAGGGCGACACAGCGCTGCGGGGACTGTGGTCTCCATGGTCCCCAGGCTCACCCAGGCTGTGGGATGGCTGTGCCGGCAGCTGAGCCTCCATCAGACCATGGTGGCCCTGGTGCCACAGGGACGCCCCTCAGGCAGTTGGTGACACATCTCTTAACAGTGCGGTTTGCAGCACTGCGTGGCAAGTGGCACTCAGGTGGCGCCGGACGGACGTCCCTTAGCGGGTCAGAGCCACAGCTCGCCCGCGGCGGCTCAGCACAGCTCCCTCGGCCGAGTGTCGGTGCAGCACCAGCACCATGCGAGGACACCTGGGAAATGCCAGACAAGACTGCCTCGATGGCCCCACAGACATCCTGCAGCACGGTGCAGCGCGTGCAGGCCGCGGGGCTGGGGGTGCCGGGCGCTGTGCTGCCCAGCGTGGTGCGGCGGCGGGAGGAGGCGAGGCCGTGCCCGGCAGGCGGGAGGGTTTGTGCCCGGCAGGCGGGAGGGTTTGTGCCCAGCTGGGGAACTGCTGCTTCGATCTCACGCTTGCAGAAACCACCTTTTGTGTTTAGTAAAAGGCATTCGTTAGGGAGGCTTCAGGCGGAAGATCTGCGATTCCTCAGTCTGCAGCAGAAGGTACTTGACAAGGGCGGGATCTGGTTAGGATCAGACTGGGTGGGGGAACGGGTTTCCCGCTGGTTCCTCGGAGTCGCCGCAGAGAAGAGCTGGGTTCATGGCAGTGCTGCGAGGGCTGCACGCGACTCTCCACGGACACAGTGCCCCTGCACGGGTGGGCGCTGTGTCCTGGCCTGATGTGCTTTGGTGGTCCAGGGACAACCCTCCACAACGTGCCTGAGTGATGGGCATTGCCAAGAAACACGCATGTCCCCGGCACAGCCCCCAGCTGTCCGTGGCTTGCAATGCCGTGGGCGCACTGCCTGTCCCACCACCAAGGTAAGCCCAGGGATGCCCTGGGAGGATCCCGGCTACAGCCCGCATGTCACGGCCACCAGCCCGTGAAACACCTTCCACTTGAGCCAAGGTGGACCCAAAGGGTTGGTGCGAACGGCTCCCTGAGCCCTGTGGGCACAGCAGAGGCTGGCCCGTGTGGTGCTGGTGTCCAGGAGGGCTTGGGAGCCAGCACTGTCCTGCTGCAGGGGAAGGGCTTGGGGCTGGGCTGTCGCTGGCCCCTGTCTTGCTGCACGAGCTGCTCTGGCTGTGCTGTGGGGTGCAGGAGGGCTGCTTGAACTCATCAACTCCTGCTGCAGATGTGACATACCGCTGGAGAAAAGAAAACAACCGGCCAGACTAAAAACACACTTTCCTTCTTTAATGCATCCCCCAGGTCCTCTGCCCGTCATCTCCCCCTCTGCGCTGCACCAGGGAATTGCATGCTTCAGTAATAGTGTCCTAATGGATTTCCCCGACCCCCACCCCCGTGCTTCAGAGAGCGGGAAGGAAGGGCGGCATGCCACCATGCCTGCTGCTGGAGCTGCTGCGGGGCGGTGGGCACGCAGAGCCCGCCGCAGCCCCGGCATCCCGCGCTCGCGCAGCCGCTGCGGGCGGGTGTGGCCGGAGGGGCTCAGGCCTCGGTTCTGCTGGGCGAGCATTGGCAAGACCTGCAGCAAGGGACCACGGGCGGCCTGGGGAGGCTGTTCCAAGGAAAATCCTGGGCTGGCTGGGGAGGAGGTGGGAACGTCACTGCCCAGAGACAGACCGGAGGGGTGCAGCTGCAGGGAAGTCTGCTCAGAGTCCGGGAGAAAGCTGGGAGCAGCCTGAGAGCCAGAGGGGATGTGTTCAGCACTTTAAAGTTTGATTTCCATGACCTTTTTTGCTGCTGGCTGCTGCTCCCCCAGTGCCACTCCCAGCACTGGGTCAGGTTGTGCTTTCCCTGCTAAGGAGCTAAACTGAGATGCTGTGTGTAAGAAATGGGAAGTGACAAGATATGACCAAAGCATTGGAAATCAATCCAAACTAAATGTGCTTCTTAACTATAAGTGAACAGTTGAAAACAATCCTCTTTTATAGCCATGGAGATAAATACTCTGTTTTTATTAGGAAAAAATTGCTTTGGACTGAATAAAGTCGTTTGATTAACAAGTCAAAGCAGATGGTTTATTGATGTTTCAGAAAGGAGTTTACAAGGTCTAGTGAAAAAAGAGACCCAGCTCTGAATTAACAAATTACCCTGGTATATGGGACACTGACAGTTCACTGCTAATAGATTTATGGGCTACTGCTGGGTGTTTCGTCCCCATTTGGTTTATTATGATAAAATATTGGGGCAGGGGTAACCTATAGCCTCATTGCAATATACTGTATCGACCCTTGACCCTGAGAACCTGACAGCAAACCTATATATTAGATTTTTAATTTGTCTTAATCTAACAGGATTGGCTTCCGTGCTGTAATTATTTTCCAAAGGCGACTGTGTGAGCGTGCGAGAGACGCAGGTGAAGGTGGATCACTTTGGCTATTGCACTGGACAGACAGTTAAACTGCTGAAGACCGAAGGGATCACAGTAGGAACGATGCAGGAGCATCCATGTCCCGTGAAGCAGGACATGACATTGAGAAATAATAAAATTCCCAGGTGCTGCAAATTACTCTCACAAAAAAATTTGCCATGAGGCCCTAGCAACGTCTGGAAATACACACAGATCTTGACTGGAAATGCAGGGACTTGAAGAAATGGTGCAAAAGAGCTGTTCCTTTTTTCTGGAAGTTCTGCAATTGCTTTGCACCCGACATGCCCACGGCCACGGCTTTCCACAGGACAGCCATGTGCTGCAGGCAGCCAGAGGGACCGGTAGCCAGCGCAGGCAGCTTTGAACCCACAGTGGCTGAATCTTCATGTCCGATATTTCAGGATTAAAATGCGGTAATTGCATGCTTCTGTGTCAGAGTAGCAGTGTATTAGCTAACAGTTTAGGCATGTGGACTGTCATCTTTCATACTTTGGGGCTAACACACTGCCTGTAATTATAGGCCAGTCTCAGTGCTCAGAGCCGTTGCATCAGGCTGGCTGTAGGTCAAGCAGTGCCCGTTCCTGTCCCTAAGCCCGGGTAACAACTACTCACTCCCGAGAATACGTTCAGGTTTCAAACACCCTCAGCCCAGAGCAGCACGCAATTAATTGCATGCATGTCCCTCCACACCGCAGGCAGGCACTGCCTGCTGCTCCGTCGTGGGCCCAGGCAGGCAGAGTGGTGCTCAGCCTTGCCAGCCAAAATGTCAGCGATGAGCAGCAGGGAGACAGCCTCTGAGCTCTCCTCCGTTTGCTGAAGCAGTTGGTTCTGAGGCCCTCACGTGAAACTCTTACTTCCTCCGCTCCTTCGTTACCTGTGCTGGTTTGCATACGGCACTTCTGGTGCCAGAGCATGCCTCCCCGAGCTGCCCTCCACGACGGCTGCTGCGTCAGATGGGACAATTAGGGGATGCCGTAGCCTGCGACTTGCAATTTTTTGTGCCCCAGCAGGGTAGTGGTGGTGCCTGGATTCAGGATCAGAGACACGACGCAAGAGCGTGCCTTGGTTTGTGCCTGTTCCCCGGGGCTGTGCCTACCCCGCGCCGTCCTCTCCACCCCACAAGGCCTCGGGGAGCGGCAGGGCCGACGAGGGCCCCCTAAAAAGAGCCGGCAAGGGAGCACGGGGGGAATGCGCCGGAGTCAGGGGCTGTGGTAATTCTCACCCACCCCAGCCCTGCTAAGCAATATCTGCATGCATCCGAAGATGACACGGTGATGAATGGGGGACAAGCGCGTCTTTTATTGCTTCCAGTGCACATATGTGTTTTCTCTCTCTCTCTTTTTTTTTTTTTAAGGGGACTGTCGGACCGCTGGATGCAGGAAGTCATATGATTTGTTCTGCAGCCATTTCTCCTTTCTCTCCTGTAATAGGATCTGCAGAAATAATTTAAAGAGCTGAAGGTAATTTAGTGTCTTCTTTACCTCTCTCCCCATACTTCCTATGAGTTCACCAGGTACCCTCTAGATGAACTAATCCTACTGTAAAATATTATTTCTAGGCTTTATTCGTCTAATTTATTAACTGTCTGCAGCTTTATTTACCAGGTTCTGGATTAACTCTGAGACCAGTTACTATTCAGAGCTGCTGCTTGCTTCATTGCCGTCTTTCATTCTGTTTACCTTTTCTTTGTAGAGGAGGGGCTCAAACATATACAAGCTGTCCTGAGGTTTAGCAGATATTCCAGGGAATCACGGGGCTGTATCTCATCTTCTCCAGTAATTAGTTACTGTCTCACACCTCATGGGAATCACAGCAAACTTTCTTCTACATGCCACTGCTCCCCAGGAAGCAGACAGAAAACGAAAAGATCATTTTAACAGTTGACATTACAACTTTTAATCTCATCCCAAATGCAGGAGCACTGAAGGGGATGGAGTTGCTCTGATTTACATCAGTTGAGAGCTGGCCCCAAGCACCCACCTGTGAGCATTGCCAGACCTGATATCATAGCTGATTCTGGGGGGTGGGTTTGGGGCTGTCAGGCTGGATCCTGGTGGAAGAGCTGTAGTGCTGCTGTATGAGCCAGCTGGGGAAGGCGGCAGCATTCCTCCATCCCTTGTGAAGGTGCTTGCAATGTTCCAGGGGCTTTTTGGGTGCTCAGGAAAGCTGAGAGTTCAGCTGAGGACAAACAGGTAAGTGGCTAGAAGAAGAAAATGGTGTGGAGTCCTTCAAAGTAAAAATGAGCTGGGTCACTGTAGGCAGCATGGCAGAAGCGGACCTGTGAGAAAGAGCGAAGCAGGATGGAGCAATGGTCTCGTGTGTGATTCACAGAGTTTGGGAGTTACCAGAGCTGCCCTCCCGGCGCTGGCGTGAGAGCCCTGCACACCCGTCCTTTGCGACGGCTCGGCGTGTCTGGCTGCAGCCAGTGTGCTTCCCCAGCTGCGCCGCTGCGCCGGGTACCTCGGAGCGGTACAACGGGGTCTCTGCTTGGCTGAGAGAGAAGCAGCCACTAAACCTGCGGTCCAGAATGTGATTGCTGTGGGCCAAAGCCAAGCGAGCTAAGCTCCAGAGACACGCATTTTAGGATTTGAGGTTACGTCAGAGACAACAGTGAAACCGCTGTGCTTTGGCCCTGAAGTGTAATCAAACTCCCGGGGGTCCGGCAGAGGTCTGGGACCTTGCCCCTTCAGGGCAGGGTGTGGGCAGGGCTGCCTGTCCCGCGCACCCGGCTCTGCAGTGTCCAAATGGCAACAGAAGCACAGTATTGGCACAAGCACTCCGGATTTTAAATAGGCTTTATCCACGGGGCCAATTCCCCTTGGAAATCCCAGTTTAAACAGCCAGTGCAGGCAGTGACTCTGGCTGTTCCCCACGGGCTGTGGCTGTGCCCCCTCTGCCAGGGCCACAGGGGCTCCAAGGGGCCTCCCTCCGCCTCTGCAGCACCGGGCCCTCGCCTGCACTGGCGGGAACAGCCCGGGGCCGGCCGTGTGTGGACCAGGTCCTCTCTCCACCCGTGCACATTCTCCATGGGGGCCGTGGTGCTCTTTGCGCCGTTGCTTCCTGCACAATGCCCACTAACGTGGTATCCCACTGCTCCCCGTCCCGCTAACACGTGGTACCTTACTGCTCCCCATTGACCTCGGCCACCACAACAGGGGAGTTCCAGCAGCCTTTGCCCGTTGGCAGTG